CAAATTTAAAAATCGCTAATTTTCGAAATTTTTTCNCTTTATCTTAATCGAGATATTAATAAGGAACCAGCAGATCAAGTAGCTTTTGGAATAAAACACCAATTTTTTTAAAATTAAACACTATCTAAAGATTTGCATCGAAGCGTTTATTTTTGATAGTGATTTTAATCACTGTCAGATATCATTATACTTGATCCAACTACGCCACGTCACCACTGTGCCGCGATCCCCCTGTGCTGGGTTTTTTTTTTATGTGTCCTTATTAGGCCAGTCACATTTATTTTTTTTTATCCAATATGATGGTACAAATTCCACCATATTATCTTGGGTAAACAAAACACTATTGCCCACATAATTAAATAGTTCACCAAGAACAAATTAAAAGACATGCTTGGGAAATAATAAATAATTTGATTAAAATCAAACATCATAATTTAGTTCAGTTTATTTGATTATAATAATGAATTATTATAATCTAATAAACTATGGTATAGGTGTTATATAAACAAAATGTATTCTTGTAATTTTATATATATTTATGGGTTTTTGAATAAATTGAGTGCATAAGTGGCACATCTATAAGTTCGTCTTTACAAGAAAACACAATAACTTAAGTCTTAATTGTATCAATATACCAACATTTTAAACTAGTTGAGGATTAGTAGTGATATTTTCAATAAGAGGCCCTTATAAATGTTGACATATTAATTTGTCAGTAGTAACATATTTATGTGCATCTAAGTTAAAATTTTCTTATTCAGCGTACCTTTTAACAATATGTATAAGTTTCATATAAACTATTGAGAAATTATTGATTATATCAAACCTAAGTATTTCAGTCAGTATAGAAATTTCACTATTTAATAGATGATGGTCATTAGTTAATTTTCTGGTGTAACTATAATGAGTTCTTTTATAGGGTCTAAGATGTGGTTCACAATATGGAAAACATGTCTTGTTTTCAATTCATTCTCTTTCAATTTCACAACGAGTACAAGAATTATATCCCATATGAGACTTGATTTTTAAGACAAAATATCTAGCTGGTATATTACAACAAATAACATCTAGTGTAATATTGTAATTTTATTTTTATAAGTTAAATTATCACATGTTAATTATCAATAATTTTTCAGGTGTTAAATTAGAAATAATACCTTTTTGAAGGCCAAAATTGTAATACATACCGGGTTTTACTTCACATGTACTTTTAACATCAATAGGGTTAGAATTTAATAAAGTCCTAGGATCTACTGGAAGTCTGGAAAAACACTTATGAAACCTAAATATTTTTAAAAGATCAGATAAAGAAGAATGGGAAATTTTATATTTTATAGGCCATTGGGCCAATTCAAAATTTATTGTTGGAAAGGAATCGGTTAAATTATCTATTTCAGTAATAGAATCACAACTAGACAATTGATCATTTAAGTCATTAATAGTAATAAAATTATTTAAATCAAATCATCAGATTCTTTGTCAGATGTATCTTCTGCAACAGAAATGTTTCTTAACAGATATTAGTGACATTAGAAATATTATTAGAGTAGATTGAGGTTCAACTTTTTCAAACGCACTAGAACTATAAGATTGCTGAAAACACTTAAACTCTTTTTTCCTCTTCCTTTTTTTAGAACGATAATTTAAAAACTAATCCATTGTATATAAATGAAAATAAATTGATAAAATTAGGAAGTACTAATAAGGGAATTTGACTGACTTGCACTATATAATCAGATTTTTAAAACAAAAATATCAAATTATATATAATTTAAATGATTTAATTAAATTATCAAAAATATTATGAAATTAAATAAAATATTAAGCTACTTACCAAGTTATTACCAACTAAAATATTTTTAATAAAGAGTAAAAATTAGCGTTACGCTAAGAACCACAGTCATGAAAGATACACAAACCCTAAAGCCCGCGCAACTCTTATCAGCCGTAACCTTACTTGTGTAAACACACGTGTGATATTTCCATGGTACAAAGTTCAACAATGACCGCGCGGCTGGTCGACGCCGACAAAGATATATCAACGATGTATCAATGGCGATTGGATCTGTCTGGACCTTTACAGTTTTGACTACACCACGGACCAACCAAAATAAAATAATTGTTTTACTTTGGTCTAGCAGGTTAAGGTATTTGTGATTTTCACTCTAAATTAAATTCTGTGATTCCTTTTACTTACATATTAAATTTATCAGTGGCGGCCCGTAGTAATTTTATATAGAGGTGTGACGAACTGTTCTACGAACATTAGGTTCCCTCCCCAATTATTTAATAATATTGTTACGTAGTCACTTGTAACAGCAATTTTAATTATTTTATTTTTAACATTATATACTTGTTTAAGGTAAAGTCAACAAAACAAATAATATGACTAAATTATTTTATTTTATTTAATCGTCAACTTTATACATAAAATCCATTCTTCTTGCTTTCATTCAACAAAATTCGTCTATAATTTATTGATTAAAACTATTATCTTCGTTGATCATACAACTTCCAATACTTAACATGGTCAAAGCATTGAGTTTTTCTTCACATATGGTACTTCTCAAGCACGGTTTAATTTTCTTCAATGTTGAGAAGCTTCTTTCAGCTTAATTTAAATATTTCTTGAATTTTATTCACAATTTAAACTTAAACATTTAAAAATAAATAAAAATACTACCCAACTGGTAAATCAGAATGGTATAAAAACGTTTGAATGTTATCGCTTCAAAGTCGAAAATCGAAATGGTAAACAAAAAATATGAAAGTGTTATAAACAAATCTTTTATTTTTTAATTATGGATCTTTGATGGGCTGTTTCACAAGAAAAGTTAAATTTCTATCATCATTACTTATACTTAGAACTTATTTTCAAATGAAAACCCCATACTATTTTTATATATTTTTGTTCTATAATAAAAATTGATCACTTGATGATAATGCATTGATAATACAATACAATAAGCGTTGATAATGGTAACATTGTTTCCGAAATACGTATCCGCGACTTTTCATTAATTTTTTTGTGGCTTTTGAGTTTAATATTTTTAATATTTTTTAGTTTTTTTAAATTAATAATATTTTTAATATAGTTTTAATTTTACTTAATATTTTTGTTCGTTAAAAAAAAAAAAATTATGAATTTTAAATATGAAACGCTACTTTAAAATGTATGATATTTGAAGAAAAAATGCAGTAATTAATAAATAAATACGTAATTAATAAATCTAATGGTGTAAAAAAAAAATAGGGTTGCCTTTTGAAAATATGAAGTTGATACAAATTGTAAGCATAGGGGATGGTGGTAGAAATTTAAATTTTTTTGTGGAACACCTCATCAAGATCCATAATGATTAAAAAAAAAATTTGTTTATATCCCTTGTATTTTTTAAAATATTACGTGAGACATAGTTAGCAATCATTCTGTTTACAATATTTTACTAGTCCATTTTTCATTATTTACCATAATTTTATTAGTCAATTGATATTTTCGTAAATTATTTGTCTGTATGTTTATATAATACCTGAAAGAATTTATAGTAAAAAGGTAAAGATAATTTTTATTATTAGTTGTGAAGATTTTTATTAGTGTTCATTATAGTAGATTGAAAGAAATATGTTTTACATACATTTATTATTATTAAGTTGAATTATTTAAATATTTATTGTTATGCCAAACAGGTGAGATCAATTATTTATTGAAAACATATATTTTATACATATTTGTTTTGATATTGTATATTTATAATAATTTTGCCAAAGTGACAATTTTACTAATTTATTTTAGTGTACTAAGGTGATAATTTCTTTATATACTATTGCAACTAATTATTTATTTATTTTTGTTTATTTTTAATACAGTTCTGTAAACCGCATTTATATTATTTGATTTATTATTAATAGTAGTTAAGTTTAAAATTGTTGCTTGTTACTCACATTCCCCAATCTAGTGTAGGCATTTCCTCCCATTTTTGGTGTGGTATATGAGTAATCAGAAGTTCCTTAATATACAGTCCACTCATTCTTTCACCAGAGACTATAAGTGCTTGGATAAGCGGCATACTACTTGTCACCCCCACCTTAACAATACTTATCAGCTATTTTAACTCTAATCTTAGTTATAAAACACAATGTATCAACCCTAATCTTAAATGTATAAACAAATTATATTAATGTTATATAAAATATCACAATTATTTTTATATTATTCACATGTATTAATTTATATATTTTATGTTTACTTATCAATAAACAATAACATTACAAGAATGAGACAATAATGATTGTTCGAGGATACAAAATACAATAAAAAGCTGAGGCCTTAAAGGAGTCTGTCCCATTCGAGGGCCCTGTTCTCTTCTGTTGGTTGTTATGTTAATCGCGCTTTCGACATCAATACGTGTTAATTTATGATATAAAAAATTGAATTTGTGTTATTTTGTTATTACTTGATACCATTAGAAGTTATTATGAGAACAAAAAAATTTTATCATGTAAGATTTCAAATCAATAAGAGTCAATACTTATATTATTTTACAACTCAATTATTTAGAGTATATAATCTGAGTAAAGAACGATAAAACGATCAAATATTTATATAAATCTTTAAACTTCAATTAATTATTACTGACAAATTCGTACCTTATACATAATCACATTACTTTGTATTCGTGAGATGGCCACTATCTCTTCGTTGCCTAGTGTATTAATACAGGTACCTACCAGTTGGGTTATTTATAATATCTTTCATAGAGGAACTTATATTAGTAATTTTATATTTAATTAACTTTATTGTTCTAAACCATCGGACTATACAATCCCGATAGAACCTCGTTGTTCACCAATTGACAAATCCCCTAACACACCCAAACTTGGTCATATACAATCATTAAACACACTCCTTTTTGCACTACTACAAAATACGTGTTTTCTTTTTGTATTATTCATTTATCCTTATAAAAATGTTGTTACAATATAAAAAACTAACTAAATATAAATATAATTTATACATTTATTTTATTTTTTTATCTCACATATATTAAAAGTCGTTTGTTGACACAGTGTCTCTAACAATTTAACAGTTAAAAACAAAATAAGCTTTTTTTTCTCATTTCAATATCCCATTCATGAACATAAGAAGTTTCATTATTTATTTCGTCATAAAAAAAGCCCAGATTAATATACAATGTTTTATTCATATCTTTAATACCTTCTCTTAAGTTAACTTCTAAAAATTCATACATTTCAAACGTATCAGGTAAATCATTACTATTTATATATAAAATACGAGCTTCATCACAATTATTTATACTAATATAGTTGCGATCAATACCATAATATCCAAGAATTATGTTTAAATCAGAATTAATCCAGCCGTACTCGTCATTGAACTTACTAAAAATTTTGTCCACATAAAAATTGTCATTATCATTTCTTTCTCTGCTTATCAAAACAACAAATTTTATTAATTCGTTTAAAATAAATGGGTTAGTTTTGATATTTAACAAATTCATTAGGAAATTTATTGCACTAATAAAACGTGTAATGAGTTTTTTAGAATCCTCAATATTTGGTAATAATAAAGTCACACAATGCGCGTAACGATTTTGATCTTCTACTGACATATCATATTCTTTTATATCTGTACAATAATAAGCAATGTATCTTACGTGATTCACGATCCATGTTAAGCTTATTGTGTACTCATGATTAATAAGTAACATTATTTCTCTTAATTTTTGATTAACATTTTTTTTATCGACGATATTACCTTTACAACAACTTTCTTTACCTAATAATAGTTGTTTCAAAAAAATCATAGACTTACTTTTATGGTCAAACACAAAATCCTGTGATTTAATGTGCCACTTGCTTTTTTGTAAAAATGAATTTAAAAAGTTAACTGCATGGCCTTTATTATATTTTTTCTGTTCATTTGTTGCGTTAACTACCAAGATAAATATAAAGATGTTATAATTCATTCTTATTAATAGATTTAATACGTAATTAATAAAAACAAAGTTTTTATTGTAAAATATATATATATATATTATGTAATTAATTTAAATTAAAAAACTGTTTTTTTTAATCGCAATATTAACTATCTGATTATGTGATGGTGTACTATGTAATGTAAAATAAACCACGATATAAATTGTTAATACGTGTTCAATTGTTATTAATGTGTATTCAGTTCTTTTAAAATAAATTAACACTGACAAAATAATAATATTTTTTCACTTTTATTAGATTATATATATTTATAACATTCTAAATTCTTACAAGATTAACAATTTTTTATTCCAATAAATATAATATTAAATAAATTTATAATATCATTATTTTTAAATTCAGAATTAAAAATATGATAACACAGTGGGGTCGCAGCACAGTATGGACGTGGAATAGTTGGAACAAGTATAGATGATCACTATCATAAGAAACGCTTCGATGCAAATCTGTAGATAGTATTTAATTCTAAGAAATTGGTGGATAATTACAAAAGCAACATCAACTCCTATTTCCTTAATTATATCCTGTTTAGTAATTCTTAGATTCAAAAATATAATATATAATTTGTATAATTCATTGTTTTCAAATTATTATAGATTTTGATTTTTAATATGTTAAAAGTAATCATTTTTAATCTACTTTTTTTCTCCTTTAAAGTGAGTTTATAATTATAAAAAGAATGAATTTATTACCATAACTTTTAGCTCAATTTGCAAGTTTGAAATTGACATCATTATATAGAAAAAATGGTATTGTTAAGATTAATATGAAGTCAGGAAATTTTATAATTACTATTTACAGTAAATTTATCAGAAAAGCACGATTGTTTTTCAATTTATCGTAATTATTTCTAATTAACTTTTTGTTTTTAAAGAGATTCTACAATTGAAATATTCAGAACTTAACTAATTTTAATTATTTACTTTAACTAAACCAAGCAATTAAAAAGTAGTAAAAAAAATTACTCTATTGAGTGTATTATTATAAAATCTCATTACAATAGTAAAAATCTATTGTTAAATTCAAGTGAAACTAAAAATCATTTTTTTTAGAAATGATTTATATAGCAACATGTTACCAAAAAAATTAAAATATTATAGACTGATAGTAGCATACAAAAATAGAGTTAAAAAATTAATAAATTACAAAGTAAAATTATTTACTTTTGTAGTTGAATACTTATATTATATCAAATCTAATTCAAAAATAAAGACAAGGGGATGCATTATCATCCATTTTATTTAACTTAGCACTGGAAAAAGTGGTTCAAAACACTATCTTTGAACAAAGTGGAGTACAGATTGGTGAAACAAAGGTAGGTTTTCTGGCATACACGGATGATTTAGTGTTGTTAGGAGAAAATAAAGAATACATACAGACAATAGATGTTATTTTGGATTGAACAACCTGTTTAAATTAAGAATTTTGTCTAAAAGCCTAATGGTACAATTGTATAGAAGAATACTTATTAGACCAGTAGTGATGTATGGATTCGAAACTTGTATGCTTCATAATATACAGAAAAATCTCTTAGTATTTGAAAAAAAAGTTCAAATACTAAGAAGTCGATTTTTGACCCTTGAATAGATAGGAATACGTGAGAATGTAGAATCAGGCATCATGTGGAGATCAGGTAGCTATATTAGAAATCAAACATAGTCGACGAAAAGAAAGAGCCTTTATTCAGAAAGAACTATGTGGCTCTCCAAAAGGCGAAAGACCACTTGGTTGACCAAGGTTGAGGTGGGAAGACCAGGTGTCAACAGATCTGGAGCGATTTGAACCGGATGCTGATTGACGAGTTCTAGTGAAGGATAGAAAGAGATGGCATGACATATATTTGTCAGTTTGGTCTTAAAGGTCGTCAACTACGAAGAAGAAGAATATATTTATTTAGTTCACAAATTAAAAAAATATTAATATATTTTAAGCTTTAATTTTTAAATGATTGGAGTGTATAAACAATTTTAATCAGCCCTCTGTACATTTAAAGTGCATGCACAGAGGCATAAATAATATATGGGAAAATAGTTAGGGTGAAAACATAAACCCCCATTCTAATATTTTTGATTTAAACCCTTTTAAATTTTTTTTTTATTAAACCGTTAATATAATATCTGATTTATTTGGGAAGGAGTGATTTAGCCCCTTTAGTTGAATCTATGATTTGCGAAGATTATTAAAACGTTTAAGAGGTTGAATTATATAAGAGCTGAAAAAGTTGTTGAAAGATACAAAAAAAAAACACATAATCAAATAATTTCTTCTCAGCATCGCATTGAGGCTAAAAAAATGTTGAATATATTAAATATGAGTACAGGAATAGTGATGAATCGCGAAGCAAAACATTTTTTAGATGAGGCCTAGGGTGGCCCTCAAAAATCGAATGTCTTTTTTTTTTTTACGCTACCCCTTAATTTTTTTTTAATGGTCAAAAAAATGAGCTGTGCAAAATTTGGGACCAATCCGTTAAGGTTAACCCGTGCCCCCGGGCCTATTAAATTGAGTTATAGAGTCAAATTTAATAGAAATAACTGATCTATGTCTCATAACTTTTTTTGCTCTTAACTTAGAATAATAAAAGTAAAACTCAAGTAAAGGAAATTTTACAGGAAATTCAAAAATAATAACTTCAATGTTGTTTTCTCAATAAATAGCCCACAAAAACACTACATACAGTAAAAAACATGTAAAAGTCTTAAAATACGTTATAACTGATTTTGTTGATTTTGAATTATTTATTTTCATTTTATTTTTTGGAAAACGCATATTCGTTTAAAAAAAAATTCTAGAAGTTTAATTTTTTACGCTAAGTACGATAATTATATTAGATTTATTATTTTATGGACAGTTAATTAATGATTAATTACAAATTTAACAAAATTGATTGTATTATTACATTTTGTCGTATCAATATATCAATTTTGGTTTACTGAATTACTTTAAGATAGTACCAATTATATTATTATTAAAGATAAGTATATTTGAGTTATTTTCGACAACTGACATAATTTGTGTCGTATAAATGCAGCAGACAATTTGTGAACACGTTAAATATATTTTACATGTTTATTATTATATATTAAATGATACGTTTTAATCACAAATGTACAATACTTTTAGCGTCTTTTAAAGTATTACGAACTAATATTTATATTATTGGTAATTATTCCCACGAAATAACTGGTAGTAAGTTACCATCAAATTTACAACTATTTAATCTGAACACTGATTTTTTGAAAATTGATCCATCATTTTGGAGTGCGAACAACAGTTACATAAATGCTTTAAATACTATAAGTAAATTACGAGTCATTAATGATACAGCCTAGAGTGGCATTAAATTAATCTAAGACTACATTAAATATAAACTACAAATGAAGAACAGAAACAATACGTTTTACAAATAGTAAGTAATTATCGGAAAAAATTTCCTAATTGTAAAAAAAGTACATTATCAAAAAATATATTATAATAATATAATTTAATTATTGTTAAAATATTTTTTTTAAAGTTATTATTATTTAAAAAAAAATAAATTAAAAATTGTTAATAACAATTAAATTAAACTGTTAGGTTTGTAATTAATCATTAATTAACTGTCCATAAAATAATAAATCTAATATAATTATCGTACTTGGCATAAAAAATTAAACTTCTAGAATCTTTTTTTAAACGAATATGCGTTTTCCAAAAAATAAAATGAAAATAAATAATTAAAAATCAACAAAATCAGTTATAACGTATTTTAAGACTTTTACATGTTTTTTACTGTATGTAGTGTTTTTGTGGGCTATTTATTGAGAAAACAACATTGAAGTTATTATTTTTGAATTTCTTGTAAAATTTCCTTTACTTGAGTTTTACTTTTATTATTCTAAGTTAAGAGAAAAAAAAGTTATGAGACATAGATCAGTTATTTCTATTAAATTTGACTCTTCGACTCAACTTAATAGGCCCGGGGGCACGGGTTAACCTTAACGGATCGGTCCCAAATTTTGCACAGCTCATTTTTTTGACCATTAAAAAAAAATTAAGGGGTAGCGTAAAAAAAAAAAAGACATTCGATTTTTAAGGGCCACCCTAATGAGGCCCCTATCTAATATTTCCCGGTCAATGAAAAATCGCATGTCCGACCTAGTATTGATCTGATTGAATTACAGTGACCGCTATTACATCAATAAATAATAAACTTATTTTGAATTTTTGTTATATCTTTTTAAAACTAATTGACGGGTTATTTTTTTTTTATTACTTTTATTACCCATTTAAAAAAAACCAAGTACAACACCACTCTTTAACAATTATCTAAGCCAAAATATTGAAAATATTTTGTGCAACGCAAGAAAAGCAGTGCTGCAGTAAATACGATAAAATTAGCTTTGCTTAACTAACTCTAAGCACATAAAGCTTAGTACTAGTACTTATCAAAGTGCTTGGCATTACAATATCTTTATTCGCTAGTAATAAAAGAAATTCATATTTATATTGTCATCAGGAACGATGTTTAATAAAAATTCTGAAAAGTATTAACAATTCAAACATTGTGAGCCGGTATAATAAAATTGGTTCGCACGTGTTAGTGAAATTATTTAAAGAAATATTTTTAAAATAGTGGATTGTGGCAACACTAGTCGACAAAAAAGATCTAAAATAATCACTCTGTATTACATTTAAAGCTTTAACACCTATAACAAAATTGAAAGAGGGCAATATTTATAAGACGATCTCATATCCATTTTGAGTTGAACCTAAAATTAAGTTTGTTAATTGAATTTGAAAATGTACTTTTTTATTATACTTCAATCAATGATAACTCTTTACCACTACAATATATCCAAAAACGATTATAATATCATCTCTAAAATATTGTTCTTTTTCGATTTAATAATGAGTGTTATTGCTCCAAGTGTAGTACTTAGTATGTAATATACATTTTTCAAGACATGTTTTAAGCTCAAAAATAGAGGCTCCCCCCTATTATTTCTTTATTTTTATCAGTGAAAAACAAATACAAGAGAAAAGTTTGAGGTCCCAGTTATAAAGATTATGATAGCTAGTATCTACAATTGAAAAATGCAGATCTAAATTAATTTTAATAATTTAATTTAAACTAAAAAATTAATCAAAATGTTTTTAAAAAAATCTACACATTGAGCGTATTATAAAATTAATTATAATTGTAAAAACCCATTGTTAAATTCAAATGAAACCAAAATCGTTTTTTTAGAAATGATTTATACAGTAATAAGGTAACCAAAAATTTAGAATATTTGACACGGCCACGGCGTTGTCACACGTTGACACCCCGCGGTCGTGTCNTGATTATGAAATTTTTACGATTTGTGATCTTTTGACGTATCGTTAAAAAAAATCATTTCGGTAGAAGCTGAAAAAAGTGGTACCAGACACAAAAATAAAAAACTGAGAAGGTAAAATTAATACCTTCTCTGTTTTTTATCGAAGCTAAAACAAGTATACTGGTTTATATATTTCACGTTTAATCAATACAATCGTAATTTTTTATCAAAATATTATAAAAGTTACAAAAAATAAAATTCATAGTATCTAATACAAGTATCCAAGATTAAGCTTTTTATAAATAATTTTACTATGCATTGTCATAAAGTAATTAATATAATTATTACTTAAAAATTATATTTATCATTGATATCATATAAGAATTATCAATTCGGAAAAAGCTTGATTTTAAAATGCATTCGACGTATCAATGTACTTGTTTTCCAATAAAACCATATCATACGATTTTTTACGGCCCTAAGACTTCCAGTTTAGTTATTATTCTCATTTGAATAAATATATTATAATTAAATCAATAATTAACCAAAATGTCGTTTATCAATAAACAATAGTACGATAATAATAAAACACTGTAAGGTACACAAAAAGAGTTATAACAAGTCGCGATAAGAAACCGTAACTTGAATCTCAACTAAAAAAAACTTATTAGAACAAAGCTGCTACAGTCTTATATGTGTATATCTTCTTGTTGAGGTGATCGAACATTCCAGAATGTTGGATCGCCACAAATAGTTTTATATAATTTTTTTTAAATAGTTAAATATAGTAATTAATACGATTACTACAATAGTCATTAACTGTTATATAAAATATCGACCACATAGTCTGTTAAACAAGAATAAAATACAATAAATTTATTTACTTTTGCACACTGTGCAAAAAAATACAAAAATAATTAACATACCATATTACAATAATAATAAGATGTTTTAGTATGCCATTGTGGTGCACTATCCTACAATGGATCCACGTTTTTTCGTCCGACGTTGTAAGTTGGTCGGACACGGACATGGTAAACTTCGAAGAAGACTAAAAAGTGACAAGGCGGCTTATTATTACATGAGAGAGATTATAACAGTATTTAGGGTAAGGATAACAGATGGTAGGAACAATTCATTCATATAATAATTAAACATTTGTATATGTGTAACACTAAATTTACAAATGCACGCCGCGCACAATTTGAATATATTACCCCGTGACTTTATGCGTTTTATAATTTTATTACGTTACAAAGTATTATAAGAATGATTTATTTAGATCAATAATAAGATATAAGACTGATTTATCAATTTTTATTATAACTATTAAAAATAGTTTGAAACGAACAAAATATTACTTTAACAATTTTAGAGAGTGATAAATTATGATAAGATATGTATATTTTCTTATTGATACACGAGGCTGATTATTATTACAAAATTGTTCTAAATAATTGTAATTTGATCAGTATCTCATTCAATTTTTAATTTAAAGAAAACTGGTCAACTCTATTTTAAGGTTAATAAAATTAAGTGTTTAAAAGTATTTCATATTTTGTTAAAAATAATTTATTTAATTGCTACATTTTGTAACACTTTTCGTTTTACATATTAAAAATACAAATCGTTACATTTTATTTTTATTTTTAACATTATTTCAATGAATATTTAGGTATTCTTAAATTAATTAAATAAATTTTAAAAAATTATATTATTTACCTTTTATTTAATCATAATACTATTTTATAATTTTTCATGTATATTTCTGGAATTAATTATTAGTATACTTTACTTTTATTGCATATATAATATAAAACTTTCTATGCACGTATATTGCCAACCCTAATATGTTTAATTCACATATATCCTAAAAATTTTTGAAACTTTTGTGTTAAAGGAAATGATTTATTTTTAAACTTTTCAACTTCCAAATCCTGATTATAAGAAGTTGCATTTTCGTTATAAGAAAAGCCTAGATTAGTATACAATTTTGTAGTCATCTCCTGAATATTTTTTCTAATGTGTACTTCTAAAAATTCGAAATACTCACAAGTTACATCATTTGACTCTTTTAAACTATTATATTCTGAAAAATCATCATTTAAACAAGCTTTTATGTTACCAATTTTACAGTTTCGGAGTATTTTAATGAAATTATGATCCTCTTTCATGTAGAGATAAAACTTTTTCTTTAAATTTGAAACACATGTCACATTATCTATATTTATTTCACTGTTTACCGATTCAACAAATTCTGTTAATTCTTGTAAAATAAACGGGTTGGATTCGATGTCTAACAAATTCATTAGGAAATTTATTGCACTAATAAAACGTTTTATAAGTTCGACGGAAATCTCAATACTTGATTTTAATAAATTCACACAAGGATCGAAAAAAATATCTTCGTTTGGAATATAAGTCATCATAAGACATTCGTGATGCAAGCCTTTTAAGTGAACCACGACCCATGCAAAACTTATGGTATATTCATTATTAATAAGCCATATTGTTTCTTTTAGTTTTTGTTCAACATTATTTTCAACGACGATGTGGTCTATGAAACATTTTTCTACATTAAATAATAGTGAATTTACTGTAAGATAATTTCTACTATGTCTGTCAAATGCTGTCAAATGCTGCATTGAAACATCCCACTTGCTTTTTTGTAAAAATGAATTTAAAAAGTTTATTGCATACTTTTTATCAGTTGCGTTGACAACTAAGATAAATACAAAGATGTAATAATTCATTCTTAGTTAGTGATTTAATATGTAATTATTGAAAAACACAGTTGTTATTTTAAAATACTTATGACACACAATTAAGTTTAATTAAAAATTAATTTTATCCTAATCGCAAAATGAACTATTTGATTAAGTGATGGCGTACTATGTAATGTAAAATAAACCACGTCACAATTTGTCGTAGAATGCAGTTGTTATTAACAGTGTGTTCATTTCATTTATAATAAATTTACACCGATAAAACAATGTTTTTTATTTTTATTTTCGTATTTACAATATTCTGTATTTCAGTCTCCATACTAGCAAAACTATTGTTTATGCCATTAAAGTTAAGTTATTGGTAAATTTTTCTATTTATAAAATTTTCCATTTTTAATTTCAAAATTAAAAAATAAATCGTCTACAAGTTTTTCGCGTAGAAGAAGAAATCTTCTTGTCTTTTTCATTATACTAAAATCATGGAATTGAATTGTCACAAATCTTCGTTTGTGACAATCAGTCAACCACCCAAAAATTATAGACAGACTTAGAATCATTTAAAAATATTCCAAAAATGCCCTGGTTGTAGTGGTACCCGCACTTCACTCTCGTATAATTATATCAACTCAAAAAGGAATAATCAAATTCGCGTTAGTAATAAAATAAAGCGGCCCATTTAACTTTTGAAAGTCATCTTTAGGATAAATTGTTTCTTATATTTATTTTGATAATTACAATCATTTATAAAAATCAATTAAATTTTAGTCTATACATTTTTACGAATACTCATTTTTTAACGGATGAAAGAGGTAATATACTTAATTAATCGCACTGTATAATATATGTATTATATACTATGTATTAAGATAAAGTAATTAATTGTGTTCCATTTTCTATAGTTCTAACCAATGTTGAAGATGGAAGGTAAATGACAACTTTTCACAAAAAATTAACTTTTGAAAATGTTCCGGAAGGTCTGACACTTTTATATATATATCTTAAATTAAAGCTATTGTAATGTTCTTTATTAAGCAAAAAAAAAATTTCGGACTTTATTTTATCTTCACGGTGAAAATGGCTACCGAATGCTATTTTTGTGTGAAAATTCTCGATTTTATTTTTACATTTTTAACTTTATAATGATATAACTTATTGAAAAGTGTATGGATCAACATAATTTTTTTATGAGAAATAATATTTTTTAATAATCTCTTTTTCATTCGACATACTTTATCTGAATCAGGATATTAATAACGAACTAGCAGATCATGTTGCTTTTGGTATAATCCATTAATTTTTTAAAATTAAACACTATCTAAAGATATGCATCGAAGCGTTTTTTTTTATAGTGATTTTAATCACTGTCAGATATCATTATACTTGATCCAACTATGCCACGTCATTACTGTGCCGCGATCCCCCTGTGCTGGGTTTTTNTCTATGCCACGTCACTACTGTGCCGCGATCCCCCTGTGCTGGGTTTTTTTTATTTAATCCCATATGCCTTAAAAAGAAAAAATTTTATTTCTAATATTCACTTTAGAAGTTGAAAGAGAAAATAAAGCTTATTTTGTTTTCAGATCCATCTCAAATAAATCCATCAATTATATTTCTTGATGTTTAGATAGTTTTTTATAATGTATTAACATTATTATCAGAATATACATGTATAAAAAGTTTTTCTTGCATGTAATAAACTTCAAATATAACAATTATACAACTTTCAATTCTTCTTTGAGGATTTATTACGTAAAGTCGTTTTTGATTTAAAATTATGAAATAATATTTGTACTTACCTAATTTGTTTTTGTATCATAACAAAAATGTTTGAATTAATCCATTATTTCTGTATAGCTTTTGAAATGTGTCAAAAAAATCAATTGAAAAACTCCTTTAACACGACACTGAATAATTCTTGGAGTGGCTGTTGAATAATTAACTATTAATTAGTTACAAACTAGTCAATAATAAAACCAATCCAGTATAGAAATTGATTATTAATACTAGTAATAAGGACAATGCAATTTCACTTAATTGAATGATGATACTTACTCGGTTTGGATGATGCAAACTCAATTATATCTCAGCGTCTAAATATGTGAAATTCGTATATTTATTTTATACAGAGTAAATCTTTTAACATTAACCACACAATTTGTCTTTTATTATAAATGTATAATAAAAATGGATTACTTGTAACTAACATTAATTAAAATTGAACTTCATTTCAGAGAACACCAAGTTTATTGAAAAATGGATGTATACAGAGTGATCGGTGTATCATAAATCATTGGATTGCTCACAAAATAAATACAATATTGAAAAGAAAGTTTTGATCTCTTTTAGTTGCATTTATTTCTTGATTTATTAGCTAAAAATTCCTTTTTTAAATCATCTCTTTTGACTCACAGGGGTATAAGCTTAATTTTTTTAAATGGCAAAATACATATTTAACTAGCTTATAAAATAGATAATAATCTAATTAATAATATGACTGATCGATAGTAACATTTGGACCAGTATTTATTTATTTAGGATTTATTCTCATTTTTATATCTAGGCGGAACGAAAAGTACGGTGGGGAAATAACTAGTGATAAAAATAACAGCATCCAATCCTCACCTCTAGTCATTACTCTAAACTGTTAATAACTTCTGAAATACTAGTTTAAAAGTTGTAGTCGACCAGTCATATTGTTATTTAGATGATTTCCTTTTTCCGCATTAGCTAGTTAAATATGTATGTTGCCATTTAAAAAAAAAAGTTTATACCCCTTTAATTTATAAAGAATGATTCTAAAAAGTATTATTAGAATTATTTTTATTATTATAATTATTAGCTGATAAATCAAGAAATATATATAACTAAAAGAAATCAATTTTTTTTCCAATATTGTATTTATTTTGCAAGTAAATAACTTGCAAAATAACTATAAAATTATTTACATAAACTAATCATTCTATATACAGGGTGATTCATTAAGGATAAGACACTCGTTTACTCAGTAACTATTGAAAATTTTAAATTTTTGGTAAGGAAAATATTGTTTGATTCAAAAAACACTACAATAATATGTAGTAAAAACATGATATTTTTCATCCCTTCAAGGTTAAAAAACATTAACTTAAGTTTTTTTAAATGAGAACACATATTTTGAATTTAATAACATTTTTGAGTTTTTAATTCAATAGTAAATGGCATTTGAATTTTTAATATAACTTTATTCGTTTATTAAATATAAACATTTAAAGTTTCAAATTTTTGAGTTAATATACATGTATAATACAGTAGGGATTAAAATTACAGATAGCTAATTGTTTTTTTATGACATTGCTGTCACAGTCACGGATTGTTCATTATCAATTATGACTATCAATAGATATACATTCTGTATTGTCAGTTAGTGTATTTATAAACTCACAACAATGTGCCTTACTACCATTGATAATAACAATGCTTTGTACCTGCTAATATCGATGTCATAAAAAACCAATTAGCTACCTGTAATTTTAATCCCTAATGTATTATACATGTATATTAACTCAAACATTTGAAACTTTAAGTGTTAATATCTAATAAACGAATAAAGTTATATTAAAAATTCAAATGCCATTTACTATTAAATTAAAAACTCAAAAATGTTATTAAATTCAAAATATGTGTTTTCATTTAAAAAAACTCAAGTTAATGTTTTTTAACCTTGAAGGGATGAAAAATATCATGTTTTTACTACATATTATTGTAGTGTTTTTTGAATCAAACAATATTTTCCTTACCAAAAATTAAAAATTTTCAATAGTTACTGAGTAAACGAGTGTCNCTACCAAAAATTTAAAATTTTCAATAGTTACTGAGTAAACGAGTGTCTTATCCTTAATGAATCACCCTGTATATATATATATATATATCCATTTTGCGATAAGCTTGGTGTTCTCTGAAATAAAGTTCCTGATAATCTTTGAAATGTCGTACTGTAGTGACTCTATTCACTGATTGACGGATCATCTTAATAATGTTACATTTTTTGTGTAACTTCTGCGGGCATTTGCATATAGAAAATAATGTGTTCGGAAAATATTATTTATTTTAACTGCGTCACATTTTCAAAAAATATATACCTAAATTTGTTTAAATTTTTCTGTTGTTCAAAAATTAAAAAATGTCAAAATTTAGTAATTTAAAATTTTTATTTTAAAAATTGAAGATTTTGCCAATTTACGGGAAATAAAAGGAATTTTTTTCAATTACCAAGAAAATATCTTCAGCTAAATACGATTGTCTAGATATGATTGATATATCGTTAAAACTCAGTCTAGTGAGAACTACTAAAGAAATCTGAAAAATTTTTTATATCTCCAATTAATTGAATAATATATTTAAATAATTAAAAATTGTCAATTTTGTAAAAGAAAAAAATATTTTTATTATTTCATTTTGCATTAAGAATTAAAACTTGCAATATAAAATGTTATAAGATATTTTATTGAAAATATTACATTCTACAATTTTAATTCTATATATTTTTTCGCTAAATGCCGTATTTCTTAAATTAAATTATAATATAATAAAACTACCTTATTAACACTCTTTAGAAGGTTATAAAAAACCTAACTACCTGTATTTGTAATCCCTCGTGTATTATACATGTAAATTAACTAAAACTTTAAATATTTATATCTAATAAAATAATAAAGTTATATTAAAAATGTTTGGTATGCAGACGTATACATTTTGCAAAAACGAAAAAAATATTTATTTTGAGGGAACAACAATTTTACAATAAAAATCTGGAACCAATACTAGAAGAAAAAAAATTCGTATTTATAGACTAGCTATTAACTAATTAAAAAATTTAGGTAAAGATTAAAACATTCATTATCAATATTTTAATTTATTTCAAATATTCAATAATTTTATTGTTTAATAAAACATGAAATGATACAATAAATGTACAATGATTTTGTACATAGTATTTTATTACTTTGTAACCAAGTATTAAGACTAGATTAAGAAAAAAGTAAAATAAAAACTATTGTTACTCATTTAAAATCAAGTTGTAATTAATTATTGATAAGTTAAGAAATAATTATTAAAATATATACACTTAAAGATTTATTGTGAATTTATAGTTTCATAATAAGAATCGTATGCTAGATATGATTTTTCATTCAATGTGTAGCAATCATATTTGTCATCTTCTGATGATGAGAATTCTTTGACTCCATTGTGTACATTATAAGGCCATGCCTGGAATACAATTGGTAATTATTTAAACTTTTCATGAATAATATAAAAATTTGTTTAAAATTTATATAGTATTGAATATTAAATCAATCAAGAAAATAAATAATCTTTTTTAAATTTCATTAAAAAAAAGTCACGCTAGCATTTTCTTGATAAAACTAGATTTTAAATCAAAGATTATTTATCATTTGCATTACTTATGTTAAACTCATAGACATTATTACGGGAAGTGTCAGTAAAACACGTAAAGTGGGTATGTAACTCGGGTCAGAAACACCGATCCTAAGTTACAATAAAGCAAGTGCCCTACCTACAAAAAAGGTCAATGAGGGTTGATGTTCATAATGTCATTAACCATAATAAAAGTAATTAAAATACTATTGTTTATGTAATAGACTTTTTAAGTTTAAATAATTTATAATTTACTTAAATTTGAAAAATATAGTTACTAAAATGATATAACCTGAATAATAATGTCTATTCAATAGAATTTATCATGATTGTCATCAAACATTTGATAGACACAATTAAACGAGTTAGTACTATTCGGTGAGATTTTGCATTCATCAGCTTAACGTATAATTTTAGATTTCCATGATGCATTATTAAAAACTACTAAAGCACATAAACGGAAATCCTTTAATTAGCTTTACGTTTTTGTGGTCTCATTGCTTATTTTTCATAATATCGTATGTACTGATGGTTTTAGTTATAGAAATAAATGTTGAAGGAAGAAGAGGTAGAGGAAAACCAAAAAAGAGATGGAGGGATGTAATTGAATGCGAATGAAGACAGCTGATGTGATGTGACGGCTAGATGATGTGGGTGATTGTGCCAAGGGGAAGTTTAGGATAAGGGTGGCCGACCCCAAGTAGTTGGGATTAAGGTAAGGAAAAAGAAGAAGAAAAAGACTGATAGATTTTACTTTTAAAATTATCTTTACGTATTAGAACCAGTAATTATGAAGTTTCAATCATATGATTCTTGTGTACTATTGATTACTTATACTGTAGAAGACACAATTTCAAAATTTTAAAAATTGAGAAAAGAATTTCAAAAAACAATGAAGTTGGCTAATAATTTTTCTAAAGAAAGTGCATATGAATTTGAACAACTAAATACTAATAGAAAGAAACTTGTTCCTAAAAAACCGGTAGATTCATTTTTTTTAATTGAGCTTATGCTTAATTAGTGGATATTAGCACAATGTTATTTTAATATTTACATATAAAAAAATAAGTGTCCCCTTAAAAACTGTCGATGTAAATACTTACAATTCAGTTATTGATATAATATTAAGTAAATTAGAAACTAGTTTTGTATCAAGAAATGGTGGCCCATTGGAAGATTTGTCTCTACATACTAAAAGAAAAATGCTGTAGGTATCAAAAAACCTAGATTCTATTTCTCAAGATATATTCAAAGAGTTATGCCTGATGTATACCAATATTAAAAGAAAGAAATATTAATCTCAGGGTACAAATTTTTATTTATAGTTATAATTAATAGAAAAGTCTGTGTCACTCCCTAAAGATTAATATACTAATTATGAACTTGATATTTCTGAATTACTATCGTTTTAGTAAACTAATTATATATTTTATAAAAAAAATATGAATTATTTGTATAATAATTATTTTCTGAAAGCAGATGCAAAAACGTTTAAAGACGAATTTTTCTCTCAAGTATCTATTAATCTTAATTTAAGAAACTGCTATATTACAGTCCCCTATAAAAAATTACAACACCTACAATGAATGAAACGCGTCGACAATTATCAAGTGACAAATAGCACCTGGTTGGCATTTGGTCTATTTGTCTCTACTTTTTTGGCCCAGACACAGCAATTCTAACTCATTATTCGTGCCATTCTTACTTGTATTTATAAGTTCTCAATTTTAACATTACTGTTATTATCCAGTAAACATAAAATTTATACTGGCTTTATTGCTTGTTTATATCATGCAATGTAAAACAAAATCAACAAAGTTGGCATTTTTATTTTAATGATTTGAATTATTTTATTTTTAATATCAGTTCATTTTTGTGTAAAATTCAAAATAATCTTTTAGAAACAGCCCACCCTCATAACACCTCTCTAATCAATTGTAATTATATAATTTATTTTATAATTTTTTAAATAAAACAAAACCATGTACGGGGCAACAAAAACAATCGCCAAAAGATGCATAGATATTATACATATGTGTATAAATACAACAATAAAAATAGTTTATAAATTTTAAAATAATGTTGTAAATATAAAATATAAAATACAAAAATTAATCAGCAACTAATATGTTTAAAAATGAATACTGGTAATGTATTAAAATAATAGATATAACTTTATTGTAAATTGAAAATAAGCAATGTATAATTATGTACAGTAAAAATCACTCAAAATTGAAAACAATTTAATTTGTTATATTTTTTTTAACCAAACCCTCATGAAAAAACTCTCTATTTCAAATAGTTATTGTTTGGATTTTTTCTTGTAAACAATTTTGAATGATCAATAACAACTTTGGGATGAATACTTATTGAATTACAAGCATTTTAATACATAGAGTGAGTATATAACGTGATTGGAGTATAAATAAACAACAGCCAATGTGTTAAAATGCACGTGACTCAATAAGTACCAACGGTGAAGCCAGGATTTCGTTATAGAGGTGTCCATAGACAAAATTTCATTTGTTGGAAATTTGTTTGCTCATAACTTCATTTTAAAGATATAGTTGTACAAATATTAGAGTATTAGATTACAATATTGCTGATAATGGAAGGTAAAATCCTCATATTCCTCTGGTTAAACCCCTGATAAGTACTTATCCTAAAGTCATTATATAGTTTTGAAATTTCGAAAAACTTAAAAAAAATTTTTTTTTTTATTCTTATAAAAGTCAAATAATAAAAATAAGCTCCATAAATAAATATATACGTAAAAATTAATAAATATTATAAAATTATTGAGGCAGTTGTTTTTAAAATGACTGCAATAAAAATGTATGAATTAATTTTTATGTTACCGATTAGGTGAAAATGTATTAATCCTACACCATTTCAGATAAATAACATACTTTACTATAAAACTTCCTGATTTTAATATTTTCTGTGATATTTCAATATTATTATAATTTAGTCCAGCTTGATGGATTGTCGTGCATGTGGTTGTTGCAGTATTATTAATATCGATGTGTTCATATAAATAATTGCATGTATACAGACGACCGTTGCTATTTGCTTATACCTAAGGGCTGCAGATTTGGATCAATCGACCATCTGAAATTTGTTTGTTCAGTGACATATCATATTTCTGAGGGTAAACACGTAATGCACGTACATGTGGATGGGTTTAATGTTGTTAGAGAAAAACCACATTTAACCAAAGTTGAAAATTATTTTGAAAGTAATTTATGTTATAAATGATTATTAGTTTACAAATAGAAGTGAAATATATTCATCTACAGTTGTCTAATAACGGATTTTAGAAATAGATTTTAGTAATAAATAAATATAGATTTAATTAGCCACTCAAACTCGAATTATAATTTGAATAATTATTTATATTAATTTTAATTATTATATCAAAACAAGTGTTTATGTTTTAATTCAAAATTTAAGTAATAAAAATGTTGAATTACATTTACAACAATTGAAGGGTTTACTGTAAAAAGAAAGTAACTCCATATTTTCTATGTTTAAAGAAATCGTTAGTAAAGTTTTATACTTATTTTATTTTAGATTAATTTACGAAACTTCATGTATAAGAGATTTTCTGGTAATGAATTAAAGTTTTTTTTTTTCTAAGAAAATAAAATATTTAATTCCAAAATCCCCAAAAGTGGACCTAGTTCCATTTTGTTGCAAACCGTTTAATTTCCAAGAGATAATTTTAGTTTCAATACGAACCTGAGAAGAAATTAATTTTTTAAATATATCACCATTACCCAATTAGTAAAACAGCACTTTAAAAAAGCGTGTATCTTCGAAAAACTTATGTAACCAACCTAAAATTTGTATTTACTTATAGTTATGTAACATTTACGTTATATTAAAAAAATTCCATATCAGGAAAAGTAATAATTTGCCTATATTAAACTACTTACGGCAGTGAATTATATTTCGAATATTTTTTTACGTCAAACATAAAAAGGTGGTAACGTTAAACTGTTAAACGAAAAAAATTGAATAACGTTTTAATATTAAAATCGTTAAACATAAAAATCGTGTAACGTTAAGTTTAATTATAAAATAAGACAGCGATATAATAAATTTAAACGCATAACAAATAAAAAAAATTTATTTGACCCCTAAAAAATACTTATTTATTCAATAAATTATTTTACCAAAACTAAAATTATATTCAAAAGTTATTGATCGTAAATAGAACTATAATACATTGCTCAAATTTGTTAGAATGAATTAATTCTATACATTTATGTAAAAATACATAAATCTATTGTTTCTAATCTGCCACAAAATATATTAAAAGCGCATTTTCTTGATTTATCCATTAACAATAAGACAGTATATCATAGTAAAAGGACTGATTAGATAGCTTTTTACGTTAATGTCCTATTCGTATTATGGAACTTTGTAGGAATGCAACACTTTTTGGTAAATGAAATTCTTCAATCTAGCAATATTATGATTTATAAGCTTTCTCTTAGAGAATATAAGTAATACTCGAAATTCATTATATTTTTAATTAGGTTACCCCATATTAATTGTTTTGGCACACTTTAATATAGTTGCATGCAATATAAACTATGAAAAACTTGCATCTATAAATTTCAAACTAAAATTAACATTGAGAAAATTTAGTCTCCCTTACCTAAATTTATGAATTATTATTTTAATATATTATTCACATCAAATAATTGGTAATTTTATGTTTTCATTAGAATTACACTTGTTTACTCATACGCGATTACTAATTCTGCTCTACAAAATTAAATATTCCTCAAACAGATTCAATTCGATACTATGTATATGACGCATACCGTAAAACTAATTCGATAACCGCATTTATTGGAATGCCAGATTTACGTAATCAATAATTAAATTTTATAATTACTACGACGTTAGGTGGATTAACTGCAACTGTCCCTCTGGTAAAACTAGAATCTTTCTGTTCTGATGAGGATAATAGTGAACTTAGATGTGCAATATACGTGGTTGCTAATCGCAACGTATCTAACTTGGACAACTTTGTGTCAGCAGGTACCCAAGGTAATGTGGTCTTTAAACGACTGAAAGCTTTACTCAGAACTCGCATACGAGCTCTTTCGCGAGCATTGGCTGCATTTCTAGGACATCCATCTTCCAAATCTTGTTGCTGTTGTTGATTTGACCACCAATCTGGTCTATGTCTACCCATATCACATCTACAATAATATAATAATCTATCTTCAATTTACTAGTAAAATTGTACACAAATTCATTAAAATTATGGTCAGTTACTCATTATTAATTTCATTACTAATACAAAAGGATAAAACTTGTCAAAATAAAATTTGTAAAAAAATAAAAGTATCCTTGAAAAATGTTCACAATCGCAATTTTATTATAAATAAATCAACGAGGTCGTATAACACCAATACGATTTCTTTTGTCATTTATATATATATTTATTTTATTGGACAATTGTACAATTTTATATAATAAAGATTTTATCAACATTGTTTACAAAAACTAATTTAATATTGTTAAAAATCATATGAAAAAATCTTTCTATATGGTAGTGTAGAACAAATTAGCACCCTTAAGCTTTGATTGAATCTCTTAATAAAGGTGTTCACCATAAAATCTTTAAATTTGATAGAAATATTATTTCATATATTGAAACCAATTGGTTAAAAGCTCATTAATTAATAAGAAAAAATGTCAAATCAAGCATAGGGCAAAATGATTTTTTTAATGGGGCCACTTGACAAAACTTAGTTTAATTATGTTTAAAAAATGTATTATGTACGTATTCGTCAATTAAGTGGGAGTAACCTCCTGCTCTTTTTAGAAATTTTGGATGTATTATACAATTTTTTAATTGGTCTACCGAGTAATTAAAAAAAAATTGTAGTGTATAATTATTTAAAAGGAAAATTGACCTGATGACTCTTGAAGGTTTGATTTTGATAATTATTAAGTAAATTTTTAGTAACTGACCTACTTCAACTAGTTATACAAAAATTATTTTATATATAAAAATTTAATTTAGAAATAATGAAAAAAAGAACATTCCCCATTTTTATGTTATTCGAAAATCCCTCTAGACTCCCCTAATATGAATAAGACTTAAAATTTCGTTTAATTTTTTCTACTCGTGTTGTTTTATTTAGCTATTAAAATAATGAAAATGTTGATTTATTTATTTTTACGCTAAAGATAAAACCTTACGCAGTAAAACAACAATAATATTGTATTCTTGCAAAAAAGTTACAAGTGCGATTTGAAACAAACATATGTGTTCTTGTACATTATTATGTCATTTTTTTGTTAATATATTTCGATACTTCGCAAACATTACTATTTTTTTTAAATCCAAGAAAATCATTTTGTTCTTTGAATCAATTTTGCTCTATCATTATTCATATTATTATAATTATCGTCATCGTTTTACATTTTTTATGTCTTAAAACGAATACGATCAATAATTTATCTTAATTGTAAATTAATAAAAAAAAATTTTTTTTATAAAAACAAGCAATTTATTGCTTTTAAAAATAACAATTAAAACATATTTAAATAAAATGAAACGAAAATGAATTCATCAAAATTACTTAATAATAACTATTATAGTAATAATAGCAATACTTTTACTCCGGTTCGAGTTTCATTCATTTATTTTTGCTAGGTCTTAGTAAAAAAGAAAATAAGAATTTAGGCTGTAAACATTTAAAGTAATAAGACTAAGAAATGGTAAAATTATTTTTAATTGTAGTTTCAACTGAAAAAGTTACTAATAGTTCATTTTAAAAATATTTAATTCCAAGTGTAAAACTTTAGATAAATATTTTTACATTTCAGTTAAAATACACTACAAAAGCATAATTTTTTTTTTTTATTAAAGCATTTAATACATATTTAATTTTTTAGCTAAATAATTATACTCTGGAACATCATGAAATTTTTATAAGCCTACCTGATTTATATTTCGAAGATAAATTTAAAAAAATATAATTTGAGTTTCCTTCTAAAAAATAATTTGTATTTACCTTGTGTAAATACAATTAGTCTAAATTTAAAATAATTATATAATTTAAATTCATTAGTTTTTAATTCGTAGTAATTGTTAACACTTTGTTTGCAGTACCGAGTTGATAATTGATTTAACTAGTAATTAGTTACTTATCAGTTACATTAAATTAAAAAAAAAAATGAATTACAATTTTATTCACAAAGAAATATGTATTACATGAAAATTATAGTAAAACATAAAAAAAATAATTGTGTAAAACGCACAAAAAACAAACGAAAACAATGAATTGCACATTAAAGATCCTAAGTTAAAATTGATCGTTATACGAGATTTTTGAAAAGAGTGTACCTAAACTGACTGCTACTAAAAATACGATATTTTCAATCTAATAAAATGGGAGGAGCATTAGCGAACTCCCTCAAATTGGCCACCAATAGGACATGTTCATAAGAGGAAATCATTCGTCCTAAACTGACACCAATGCTGAAGACTTAGACAAGTTTATTTTTATTTTAATGAATACAAACATATTGTATGAATAAACTGTTAAGTAGTTAAACAACAGCGCAAAGTAACACGATGCTGTTATACACATGTAAAAACGCCAATGGGAAACTAAATCCATAAGAAATCTGTGATAGGATAAACAAAAAATGGTAACAATATGTTACAGTTTTATTGCTTAAAAGATTTTATGGACAAAATAGTTTGTGTACACACGAGTTTGAAATGAAATACTCCTAATAAAAAATAAAAACATTAATACAACTTTAAAAGAGATAAAACTGATATCTTAGAAAAATAAAAACACATTAAAAAAATTTAAGGGACATAAAATTAGACTAGTTTGTTAAACTCAAATTGAAAACCAAAGAAAGTAAAATTATTTAAAAATTGTCAATAATTATCATTACTATATTTATTTAATTTTGTAATCGCTATTTTTTGATGGTAAAATTAGTCACATCATTATTATAACTCTATTCGTATTTTAAACATTTCAATCATAAAATTTTTATGCCAGGGGTGCTAACATTTTTTTTTGTTTGGACGCAACCTAAATTAGTTTTTTTATTCAATTTAAAAACGATTTGCTATTATTTATTTTATAATGAATAAATTTACATATGAAAATATTTTAAAATATCCGAAAAACTATTTAAATCCTCAACAAAAACGTAACTGTAAAATGAACTAAATTCCAACCTTCTCTTTTCCCATTTAAACCTTCACATCGTCTATATTATGGACAAGTTTGCTCATTCTTTAGTTTATAAATTTAATCCCATTTTTATGAGCAACATTGCTCTATTAAATGTATTGCTTAATATTTGATCAATTTTTGAATGAGGCAAAAAAGATTTTGCCTCAATTTCAATGAACCCTATAAGAAAAATATTTTTCCTTTTACTCTTTTCTTCTTTTTAACCACTACTAGGCCAGAAACTGGCCAAGTATTATATATGAATAAAGGAGCATTAAATTAACGCTTAGGATTTTTTATTTAATCACCACGTAGACTATTCTTTTCTTTTATGCATATCCTTTTACAAATGTATAATAATATAAAAAAAAGTCATTCACACTTTTATTGAATACAACAATGCAGACGACNACACTTTTATTGAATACAACCATGCAGACGACAAAAATTAATAATTGATTATAGAAACATTGAGTACAATATATTAAAATCTATAGATTTCAATATAAAATTTGAACATATTTTTAAATAAAATTTTTTTTTAATGAAAATATACAAATAAATTAACGGATTTAAAAACAAAAATCAATATTTTTTATATCAAATTATACAAAGCTTACGTTTTTCGTTTATTAAAATGATTGTATGCATGTTTAGTAGCATTCTAAAATCTATTTTTTTTTAATATCTAGAATTGGTGTTATTATTATTATTATTAATGTAATTATATTAATTTTTTTTTCTGTTATATTGTTTCTAAATAATTATGCTTAAAATATGTTTTTTAATTTTCTTTGTATCTCAATTTCAACGCATTTAGCAAGTTTTTGAAAACTATATGATAGTTAAATTAATATGTACATATAATTTATTACTTGAAAATAAATTATTCGTGTAAATTAATTTCAATTATCATGAAAATCATATTTTTGATAATGACTACATAATGACTACAAGCATTAATTATCTTATTTAAAGTATAATAATCAAAAAATCTATAAACTAAAATAAGTATAGTTTTTATTATCTAAAAAATGATAACACTAGAAAAACTAATTATATCTTAAATTATTATAATTTTATCTTAAAATGATAAAACATTACATATTCACAGTGGCGCAAACAGAAAGTAATTTCAGGGAGTTTATTATTATTATAATGGATTTTTTTCGACTGAATAGCTATATAAGAAAATTTGAATGAGCAAATTTTGAATTTTAGGAGGGGAAAGTTACAACCTCCTACCCACCCTGGTTGTGGCACTAGATATTCATAGTAAAAATATTTTCAATTTCACTATATTTGTAGTCATTTAAACTCCAACAACAAATAAAATTATTTTGAAAATTACTGATATATATATATACTCAAATGTTTAGCACTCAGAAAGTCTATTAAACATTTGTTTACTTTACTAGCAAAAAAATTACCATGAAAAAAAATTCGATGAGTTAAAAATAAAATGAGTTTTAACTTATATTAATCAATATTAGTGATATTATTATTGACACCCTGAGATAGTCAGGAGGGCTATCAAAATATCAACTCCCCTCGAAGTATACCTAGATTAATCACTGATTGTAAGAGCATAATTAATATAAATAGAATGTCCCTCACTGTGGTGATTTACTAATTTTTAACATCGGTCTACATAGTCAAATTAGTAAATCACGGGGGACACTTTAGAAATATTTCTTGGAAAAATTTATAAAATGTAACAATTTAGTAATGACCGCGTTTTAATGACTTATAATTATGGGGAAACTTTTATATACTAATATTTTATTAATATTATTTACTGATAATTTTATTCCATTTATTTTCAATACAAACATTAAATACATATCTGTACCTGAGAGGCAGAAGGGATCAAGTCCATTTTTATCAATATTGCGGTTATGTCGCATTCCTAAAATATAATTTATAATTTACAATATTGATCTATAACGTATGACTTAAATAACATTTACATTTATGTATTTAGAAATATATATATACTTCAATAACTATTTACACATCAATGAAAATATTACTAATCTATGAAAATTTGAAAATTAATGGAGTTACAACCATGACAAAAATGTAAAAATCTGAACTGATGCAATGAATGCATAAGAATAATATACACGATGACTCGTTAACTACATTATGGATGATGACGGTAATATATTATGCATCTTAGCACAGACATCTGATAGTTTAAAATACTATGCCTAGTTGACAGGGTCAACACGCATATTTTACAATTTCACCCTAGTCCTAAATAAATAAAAATCTTCGCTACTGTTATTATACAGATTAACAGCAATATGTCTGGTTGCCATCTTTCGTATAATTTATACACAGTAAATTTTGCCAGTCCCGCTAAAATACATTACTAGTACAGTATTACTTATGAGAAAAAGATTTCTGTTATGGGTATATGTTAAAACAACAATGAAATGCGAAATACTTAATATTCTATTATTTTTAAGTTAGTTGGAAATAATGATCATCTTGTTATTGCGTCGCTGTCTTTTATTAAATAACTGACCTAGGTGTGCAATCAAGTTAGATAATTTCATAATTGTGGATGATATAGATCATTTAAAATAATGTAGCATTTTAAAATACTAAACTAGAGGTGAAGCGCAAGTATGACTATTTTTATTATTAGACATTTCTCGGTCACACACTCCCCCGCCTATGAAAAAAAATGTGAATAATTTCCGATGTACTGGTGGTCCAATAGTTGTTTTTCACCAGTCGTTTTCTTAATTTGATAATTTTCTATTTTATAAGCCATTTTATTTCAAACATCATTAAATTATATAATGGACGAACTAAAAATTACTTAATAATTGATAAATTGAAGCCAAAGAAAACATTAACAAAATTAT